GAGTTCTGACTGTTATACAAACCCGCTGGTGATTCACGGCCAAGCAACAACTCAATCATTGAACCTAATTGCGTCTTGCAATAGAAACGCCAACGGCTCATTGGCAATAAATGGGAAATGGGTCACAGAAAATAAATGCTAAAAATGACAAAGGTCTCAAAAAGAAAAAAAAAGTTAGAAAACAAATAAAAATTTAATAATAAGTTATACTAACAGTAGCTTTAGGAATCTATAGTAATAGTAATAATAGTTATTTGAATACAGTTTGGCCCTATCCGATGACCTCTTCTACAATGATTATAAAATAGGTAGACGTACATGTACGACTATACGTTATCGTTGAGTATATTTAAAAAATTACCGTTTTTAAAAATTGTAAAAAAAAAAGAAAGAAAAAAGAAAAAACGTTAAGCACATGAAATGATAATTATTTTTGTATAATAATGATATATTATATAGCGTATAAATTACTACATTGAACGACGACAATGACGACGACGTGTTAAGTATATAACTAAGCTAACAAATAAATAGGCCAGTAATCCAGTGGTGAAAATTAAATAAAAAAGCTATAATGGTAGTGAATGGCAAGTGAATAAGAAGAATTTAGTGCCGAAAAGAATATAAAATATTAAAACAGAAATTTCGTTAGTATAACGAGAAAAGTACTTATAACAACAAAATTTACGTGGATTCGAGCAAAGAAGAAGATAAAATGGCTGAAAGAGTGAAAATCTGCGATGTTGTTATTCGCGTATGCGACGGAGAAGAGTTCAGCAGTTGAAAATTTGGATTACTTATACTTCTAGAATACATTTAAATGTAAATAACAAGCTGTTCGAGCGAGTACAGCAGCAAACACATAAGCCACATGGAATACAAATGACTTTGAAGCAAGAGTGATCATCACAAGTACAGTCTCGAATAGACAGCTTAAATCCATAGAGAGAAAGAGTGTGAGACAATTTATGACATAATAAAAACATTTGATAAAACGTATGAGACAAGGAATCCAGCTCTAAAAATTATAAACAAAAGCAAAATTAAAGACGTGGAGTTAAAAAATTTTGCAAGTGCCGAAGAATTTTTCGTGAATTTTGAAAAAGCTATAAATTAATTCAAATGTACAAGAGAAAATATCAAAGAAACAGAAAAGATGAGATATTTGATAAGAACATTGCTGGAAATTTATATACGTAGTTACATTGGAGACTATATTGATTCAGTTCTTAAACATCAACGAACAGCAGAAAATGTAAAACAAAAAAATTAAAGAAAAAATTTTAACAAAAGGAGGTAAAATAAGAATTAAAAGTGATTCTAGCACATTTCATACTATTATCCAAGGAAACTGCTGTAGATGTAGTCGTTTGGGACACACAGCTAAAGCATATACCCATGGTCAATCCAACCAACAGTAGTACACACAAGAAAGCTAAACGCAGCGAAGCGGAGGAACAGACCAACAACAACAAAGAGGCAGAGGCAGAGGTCGATACACATTAGGTGGCAAGAAAGAAAAAAACACAGGCAGAGGCTACAGCAGCATAGCAAGCGGATCATCGTATTAACGACAGATCATTTAATAAACACGAATAGGCATTTAAGCAAATTCATAAATATTAAAAAACCTGTGACATTCACTTTGCCAAATGGTGAGCCAATGAAAGCCACAAAGATAAGAAAAATTAATATCTATTTTCATAATTATATGCAAAAGTTAAGTATAGAATTGAATAATAGTTATTTTGTAAAAGGTACAGAAAGAAACATACTTAGTGCATTGCATATAGCTAAAGTTAACAAGGAAGTAGTAAGGAAAACCTTTACAAAAATACATTCCAAATCCAAGCACGAATTACTGGCAATGGCTACAGAGGAGAATGGTTTGTAATTGATGAAAAATTTTGTTAACAGAGAAAAGAAAACACATATACGTGGCACAGAAAAAAATAAAAAAATACAAATCATAAAAAACTTACAAATAAAGAAAAATAACACAGAGACCTAAGTCACGTATATTTTTAATATTTAAATAAATATGTAAGAGAACAAATGATTGATGAAATACCAGAAAAGTTAGAAGACATTAAAATGCTAACTGTTCAGAATTAAAATGTCAAATGATCCATTTAAAAATAATTAAAAAAAGGTAACAGAAATTTTAGAAGTTGTTTATACAAATTTAAATGGGACACATAACACAACTAATGATAAAGGAAAAAAGTATTTTTTAACTTTTATTGGTGAGTATAGAAAATTCACAAAAACCAGAAACTGTAAATTGCTTTATTAAATATGTTGATTTAGTTAAAAATTAGTTTAGTGAAAAGATTACAGAACTTCAATGTGATAATAAGACTAAATATTTGAGTCGAGAAATGTACAATTTTATTAAACACAAAGGAGTCGAATCATGATCTCGCCCACTTTTTGTATATGAAAGAAATAGTATCACTGAAAGATACAACAAATTGGCTATAGATGTGGGTAGATGTCTAATAAAAGAGGCTTGAATAAATCTGCGTTACTGGCCAGAAGTAATGAAAACTGTAGCACATTTAAAAAAAACTGCAAATACTGATACAAAGAAAACATTGTCTGAAATATTTTTTGGTACAATGCCTAATGTAAAGTATGTTATAATTAATGGCAGAAGAGTATTCGTAAGAAAGCCAGGTTATGTAATAAGATTGTTTATTAATGTAATTTTTTTGTAAAACCCATAAACAAAGTAACGTAACAAAATGATTAACTTTTGCAGAATATAGAGCGTTCTATAAAACAGCTGCAATAGCTAAATTTAGAAATCTTATAAAAAATTTGAAACGCATTGAAGTGCAATATCACTATAGTAATGAAAATTATGAAAATGCAATTATTGATACAATTAAGGTTAAATCTAACAAAAATTCAGCTAATATTAATAATAACAACGATAAGCAATCGGAAAATCTTAAAACTTCTACAACTAAAATTAAAATAAAATAAAATAATGTAAACAGGAAAGACTCTTAATTTAAGTAGGCGTGTATTAGTATACAGTAAGTTTTTTCAGTCTCGTCTGTGTATAGAACTATAAATAACGGTACGCGTGACGTCAAGCAGTATACGTATGCTGTACGACATGCTTTAGTCAGTCTGCTACTAACAGTTAAACAGAGCTGATGTGCTCTTACTGTAGAGCTTGTGTAAGTGTCTTGATGTTAATTAACATCAGATAAGGAAAAACACATCTCAAACAACTTTGTGCTTTAAAGTGCCTTTTCCATGAGAGGCCCTGTACGGATTTTTTATAAAATGATTTAAGGTAACAGGCGTTGAAACACCAATCATAGGCCTAGTGAGATGTCATTTGGCAATAACCTGGCGCTGAGATTGGTAATATTACTACAGGAAGAAATTCAAAGAGTTCTGACTGTTATACAAACCCGCTGGTGATTCACGGCCAAGCAACAACTCAATCATTGAACCTAATTGCGTCTTGCAATAGAAACGCCAACGGCTCATTGGCAATAAATGGGAAATGGGTCACAGAAAATAAATGCTAAAAATGACAAAGGTCTCAAAAAGAAAAAAAAAGTTAGAAAACAAATAAAAATTTAATAATAAGTTATACTAACAGTAGCTTTAGGAATCTATAGTAATAGTAATAATAGTTATTTGAATACAGTTTGGCCCTATCCGATGACCTCTTCTACAATGATTATAAAATAGGTAGACGTACATGTACGACTATACGTTATCGTTGAGTATATTTAAAAAATTACCGTTTTTAAAAATTGTAAAAAAAAAAGAAAGAAAAAAGAAAAAACGTACAACTATACAGTATTAGTATTACATGAAACCGTCACAAACATAAGTGTATATACTGAAAACACAGCACAAATCATCCATAGGGAAAACAAAAACGAGGTGTTAAAATTTCTTCCTATCAGGATTCATTACATACAATGCAAACAACACGATACATTCACTACACTAATGTCCAGATAAACATCGCCGAGGACATCGGCGTCCCAGCCTTGGATATGTTACGTACATTAGCGTAGCTAGAGAAGAGAAGGCTTGGAGAGGAGGATTAAAGGAAAGGACAGTGAGTTAGGGAGATTAGCTAAAGTCGCAAGAGTGAGAAGACCACGCCCACGAGACCGAAAGATACGTGCTACTTTCGTCACAGATAAGAAGTTCTAATAAAGTGACTGAACTAAAATTTGCGCCTTTATTTATTCATGAATCAGTATACCCACATAACAAGTTTAATGAAATCCATTTTTTTTGCGATATTGTAAGATATTTCTTAAACGTATAGTACAACTTGCTTTGACATCGTATATATCTTGTGCTCTATTTTACATAGTATAATAGTGGCTCCTAATAGCCCTTAACTCCTTACGTATACAAAACAAATCACACCTACTTGATGTATATTAATAATTATTAAATTATTTATATTTATTCACATTTATTTCATAAAAAAATATTCCCAGATACCCCTGTATAAGTATGGATTATTATTTTCATTTGATAGGAGCTCTCTCATCTTCATCAAGCTAAGGTATGATAGAATTAAGGTATGATGCTCAAATTTTTTTCATGTACATTTTTCACATTAGCTCCAAAACACAATGGTATATTGATTAACAATAAAGCCCAAAAATTTATTACAGACATCATTATAAGAAACTGTACGTTAATACCAATACATAAAGTGTTTAAAAGAAATGTTTACAATTAGCATATTATAAAAATTATACGAGTAACGGGTTCAAAGAATTTCAATAATTTTATTGTAATATTATCGTAACATCAAGATAACAGCTGCTTTATTTACGCTTATTTTTTATTTCAAACACAGTTGAGTAAGAGACTGTGCACCTTAAAAAAAAAAAGTATTTTTATATGGCCTTAATTTTGCTGTGTTACGAAAAAAAAATTTTTTTTTTTGTACAATTACGATGTTTTTATTAAATACAACTTTTCCATGATTTGAATTTCAGGGTGATTCTCCGTTTGGAAAATCCGAAGCTTATATTAAATTAGAACAATTAGGTGAAGGCTCATACGCAACTGTTTTTAGAGGTTTTAGTCAATTAACAAACCAGGTTGTGGCTTTGAAAGAAATAAGGTTACAAGAAGAAGAAGGAGCACCTTTTACTGCCATTCGTGAGGCAAGCTTACTTAAAGAGTTGAAACATAATAATATTGTCACTCTGCACGACATTATTCACACTCGAGAAACTTTAACTTTCGTTTTTGAATATGTGTATACGGATCTCTCTCAGTATATGGAAAGACACAGTAGTATAGGTCAAGGTCTTGATCCACATAATGTTAAACTGTTTTTATTCCAACTTCTGCGTGGACTGGCTTATTGTCATCAACGGTAAGAATCTTAATATTGTATATTTTTAATTTTTTTCGAATACTATAAGTTAAACTCAATTAAGAAGAACATTGCAGACAGTTTCTTAAATTACTTTTTGCTACACAACCATGTCTCTCTTTATAATCACTTTATTTTTTTCTTATACTTTTAAATTGATATTGTAGACTCGTTATAATTTCTACTTATTCTTTTTCAAAATTATAAAAAGATGTCTGATTCTGATGAAGGATACTTTTGGTTGAAAAACGTAAAATGCTCTTAACTTTTTTTTTTAACTTTAGGATAAGAACAATTTTATAAAAAACTTTAATTCAGGGTCAAGTCAGTTCTAGGTTATAAATATTGTTGTAAAATAAGTTACAAGTATCCTCCTTATCCATTAAATAAAGTAGGATGATAAGGAAGTACTCAAAGATCAATTAAAGTTGTACCAAGTGTTTAAATACGACGTTCTCCTGCCGCCAGGAGTAGTAGTAGTAGTAGTAGTAGTAGTTTTTTTTTTTTTTTTTTTTTGTGGAGGGAGGGGAAATGCACTGAGGTACACCGCAGGGACAGCGGTAGTGTGGGACTCGGTGGATTTTTTTTATTAGACCACCCATACCCACTAAACCCCCCCCCCCATGTCGCGTGGCTTTTGATCCACCCCGGGACCGCGTTAGCATTACTTCAGGGTAGAGCCACCAGGGAGACTATCGCGTCTCACAGCATTAACGAGCTAACTAGCCACCATTTGCTAGAGGTCCTCATGCTCTCGAGTCCTGAAAAGGACTCGGGGTCCTTGAGGACCAGCACCCTTTCTAGCGCTCCATAGTAGGCCGCTAACCTAGCAAGCACCACTATAAGCTTGATGCTTTCCCTTGCTGATAGGTACAAGTACTTAAAGCAGCGTGAGTCCACATTGGTCCACCTTCCTACTCAAGGCCTTTCCGTCTTATTTGCGTCGTGCTTGAGCCTTTTTTCTGGCCTCGTTTAGCGCTCTTCTAAATAGAGGGCAGCTCCCACTGCCGGCTTCGTGCTTGTTGTCCGTCGTTAGACAGAGAAAACACCATGCTGGGCCTGAATACGCTTTCTTCCGGTAGTTGCAGCTTCCACACCGGAATAAAAACTTGGATCTATTTTCTTCTTTACAGCTGCCTGGGACATGTCCATATCCCAGGCATTGGTAACATCTTGTTACTTCGGTTCTTCGTCAGATTTGGCAGCTTACAAAGCCAACTCTTAACCTGCCTTCACTCTCTGCTTATCTAGCAGTTGCTTCTGCCAGCCTCTGTCCTCTGATATTTGGTTTTAAGAGAGCTACTTTACGCTCCTGGCCATCTAGTTTAAAAATCTTGATGAAAGCCTCTTTAACGTCGTCTTCCTCGGCAAAAGCGATCTGGAACCTCTAGTGTCACTTTGTTCGTGCTTATTTTTACAGTTTCCTGTTCGGCTACTGACTTTCCAATTTGCTGTGAAAATGAAATTGCATCCTCTACATCTTTGGCTTTTATGAGTATGTCTCCTTTTCTTGTGGTGGCAACACTTTTAACTGCGGTCTTGGCCTTGTCAGGGTCAAACTTCGCCTTCATTGACTTTAGTACACTCGCAAAAGTCTGCTCTTCAGCCATCTTCACCAATACTGTTGTCGTCGGATCTACTCTCTTCTTCTCGCCATTTTTGTCGTCCAGGAGAACCTCTTCCTGTTTGCCTCTGACTGTTTTTTTTTTCTTAGACGACATGGCTTGTTGGCTTTTTTTAGGGCTATTTGATGGGCTCCAGTTTTTCTTTTTTTTAATTCGCTCTATCTCCTTAGGGCAGTGTTCAGGGTTCTTTTCTGAACATGCTATCGAAAATTTTTTCCCCTATGTTCTCTGTATTGCAGGGATTTAAAACACTCTTTTTAACTTCTCGTTACTTTTTTTTTCTTTAAAAGGACGCTTTTTCTAGTCAATTCAGCTGCTTCCAAGTGTTTGAGCACAGCTTTTAGACCATTTTTGAAGGCGTTTGCTGTGTTTCCATACTTTTCATAAATTGCCTTAAGCGTCTCTTTTATCTCTAAAGTTGCAGATTGAACTTGCTCAATCTCTTGAATTCTCTTCACTTTTAGCTCAGCATCCTCTCTTTCCAGAGAGGCGAGCTCATCTTAAGTCTGGTTGCTGAAGACAGACACGTTACCACTCTCGCTGACGTTACTGCCTATACTCAAAAGGCTTCCTCTTCGTCCTTCATCTGTAACAAAAGGCCATGAAACATGTAACAGCCGTGGTTGGCCATGAGACACGTCTTTGTGCCCCCCCCCCCCTCCTAGAATCCGTGGGGCCAGCGGCAGTCACCCGGGCTTGCACCGGATCAGAACTGCCGGCGGATTCCCCTCAAAGAGGTTACCGCCTAGGGTACAAGTTTAACATTGACGTTTTTCATTTTTAGTTCTTCTTAAAATTGCATTGACCGGTAAAAGCCAACACTCCCCTTTTTCCGGAAATAAGAATCTGGAAAGGGTAAAAACCAGTGCAGCAACCCACTTCGTTGCCGAAGATTGGTGCTACTTGCTCGGGCCGGCCGGGAGTCGCCACTCTCCCTCAGTCCCACCCGCGGAGACTGCCCTGGCGTTGTGTAGGGAGTGTGAAGATGGTGATTGTGTGTAGTGTATGTATATGTTGGTACACCACAGTCATTCCAGCGAGACGAGAAACTGGCATACAGTCCCACGACTGGCGCAGACAACCCGAAAAAACGAGCTGGCGTATACAAGGCACTGAAAAGTGCCACCATGTAGGCTCTTAAGTGGTAGTAAGCCTAGATTAGTCAGCCCACCACGTCTTTTTTGTTGATGAGTCGTGCAGCCATATCAGATGCGGTTACCTGGACTTACCCAGGCCTTATCATCCGGCTTAACCCGCCGCCAGGTCCTCCACACCAGCCAGGGAGAGAACCCGCCGCACGCAAACCGAAACAACTAGCGAGTATACATGTAATGGTTTAGTGAGAGTCTGATGCATATATCTAAGAAAAATGTTTTAACCGCTGCTTACTTCTATACACGACGGGATGCTAGTTTTTGTTGGCCCACATCAAGCAGTTAAGCGCCACCCACGGCGGCAACTGAAAGCAAAGAGTAAAAAGCACAAGCAGCGCCAGGCCACACATGTACATCAATAAAGACAGAGAGCACAAGGCTCACGTCCACAAAGACTCAGATACACACTCCAACGCCTCCCGATCGGCGCCCCCCTCTGTGACCACAAATGGCTGCCCCAACTGCCCGTCTTCACCTCAGATCTTAAAAGGGTGCCCCTATCCGCTACCTAGGGAAGCGCCCGGTATGGAGAAACTAGCAAAACCCCCGCCAAAAGCAGTAGTAGTAGAAGTAGTAGGAGTAGTCGTAGTAGTAGTAGTAGTTTTTTTTTTTTGTGGAGGGAGGGGAAATGCATTGGGGCACACCGCAGGCATTACTTCGGGGTGGAGCCACCAGGGAGACCATCGCGTCTCACAGCATTAACGAGCTAACTCGCCACCATTTGCTAGAGGTGCCAGTCCTCTCGAGTCCTGAGAAGGACTTGGGGTCCCAGAAGATTGGCACCCGTTCTCTAGCGCTACAAAATTTGTTGCTTCCCCATGCTGCCGCCTAAAGAGCAGCCTTGGCTTCCCGCGTAGCGGCTTTCTCCTCTTCCTTCTTGCGACGGACCACTGACCTGACGTAACCGTCCACTGTCCTCCATCTCTCTTCGGTGCGAAGCATCTCAGAGATGATGTTTTCGGGAGTGGGTGTCACGCTAAGCCTGTCTTATAGTTGCTGGCGCTTACGGTACCATCTCTCGCACACAAAAAACGTGTGTTCGACGGTATCAACCACTGCGGGGCAGTAAGCACATCTGGGGGATGCTTTCCAACTGACCATGCCCAGAGAGGAACTGAGTGCGGTAATAATTCATCTCTCCGTGCCCTCTCTCAACCCATGGTCGCAGGTTCGGGATCAGCCGGTGCGTCCATCTACCCACACTAGCCTGGTCCCACTCCTGTTGCCACGTCCTCAACGTTTCCGCCCGCCTGTTGCCATCACTTTCGTCACCGGAGCCGAGGAATTTCCTTCACCGCTTCAGCGCAAGCAACACGACGAGAATCGTTCGTACTATCACCATAATAGCAGCAGAGGAAACCGTGCGGTAGGAGGAAGCGATCCTTAGAGATCCGATGCGCTGCACCGAAATACGGAGCTCTCGGACGTCCCGTCTCACAACCGCATCTGCGCATACCTCCGCGCCGTAGAGCAGTATCGAGTTTGAGACCAATGCCTGAAGCCGTCTTTTAGCCTCTTGCGGGCCCCCAACGTTCGACATTAACTGTGTTAGCGCTCACGCAACCTTGGCGGCTTTGTCGGCTGCTCTCTTAATGTGCTCCCAGAATGTGAGGCGTCAGTCTACCCACACCCCCAAGTAGCGCACAACTGAACTTGCGCTGATTGCCTCGCCCACAACGCTCAGGCAAAAGTCCCCCCCGAACCACCTTTGCCTGGTAAGGACGACTATCTCCGTCTTGTTGACCGCCCACCGAATTTTACGCTCGGCCTCCTCTCGGGATCTCGCTGCGACGTGTAGTGCTATGTGATCAGCAAAACCCGCCAGCTTGACCCCCGGAGGCATTTCAAGGCGCAAAAGTTCATCGTAGATCAGGTTCCATAAGTCAGGTCCAAGGGCGGAGCCCTGTGTGACTTCCGACGCCAGGCGCCTCTCTCTTGGTCCATCCTTTGTGTCGTACCGGAGTACACGATCCTGAAGATAGCTATCCAGTATCTTTCTAAGGTATTCTGGTACATTCTGGTGCCTCAAAGCCCTCATTATGTCGGACCGTTTGGCCGAGTTGAAAGCGTTTCTAACGTTGAGAGTCACCAGGACACAGGCGCTTCTCGTCTTATGTGAGGATTTCCATGCCTCCCTAACCGACTCGAGGACCTTAGCCACAGCCATGACCGTCGATCGTCCCCTTCGAAACCCGTACTGATTATCCGAGAGACTGACTTC